CAACCAACACCTTGATTTAGACCCTGAAGGGAACATTACTTTGAGGTCTAGTCCTCTGGGATTGGGCGGCCTATAAATCAATTTAATAAATAAATAAATAAATAAATAAATAAATAGTACAATAATTTAGAGGGACGTGGTGGCTAGAGGGATGCAGTGGCTCAGTGGCTAAGACACTGAGCTTGTCAATCAGAAGGTCGGTAGTTCAGCGGTTTGAATCCCTAGTGCCNAGAAGAAATCAGTTTAGTGTTTTCACTTCAGGTACAATTGGCTAGGCTCAAACTTTCACATTTTGAGTGCATTATGTGAAGACCTGTTGTAGCTTTCTTGAAAAATCCATAATGTTGGAAAAGGTAGATGAATTAAAAATTAGAATGGCCAGCTACAAGATGAATGGATTGGGGCCTTGTCGGAAGACCTGAAAGACCAGGTTGAGGACAAATCATTCTGCAGAAAATCTAACTACATGGTGACTAATAGGCAACACTGACTTCATTACATGTAGATCAACTGATCATATTTATATTTCATTTGAGTATAATATGCCTTCCTATTTTTATTTTCTTTTAAACAGAATAAAAGGAATATACAGATGCCATTGGCAATGTGATGCTTCCTATCTTTTTTTCAGTACTTCTCTAAACCTGTAAGGTCAATGCCCAAGCTCCTGAGGTTAATGGAGTGAAAATTTAATGTTGTGGAAAGCACAAGGTTGGCCATCTGCAAAAGAGAATGGCATCATTTTTTTTTAAACTCACATCTTTTTGGCAAAATTCTTCATATTATTCACCCAGCTTCATACCACAACGCTGAGAAACATGACTTAGCAATGTGATAAGGACTGAAGGAAAATGGGAAGAATGCTAACTTGTAGTTTGATCAAGAGACCAGGCAGTATTTTCTTGATCTGAGCTAAGTGCATATGCATATGAACTTGTATCAGAGGCTACCAAAGCAGAACTACTTTCATGTTATTGGGTACAAGTATAAATTGGCAAGATCATCTAGATGGTACAATGTAAATTTGGGATTACCGTATTTAAGAAAATATGGACAGTAATTTTTGGGAGGCCAAGAAACTGTAGGAGAAGGAATGGCAGAATCTGGGAGCGGAATGAAAAGAGGAACTAGCCTAGAATCATTATGTAGGCACAAGCAAACTAAATCCAAACTCCCTCAAGTGCCTAACTCTAACCAGGTGTTGATGGTTAGTTGAAAAATGCCTGTGCATAGACTTTAGCAATAAATCCGTTTAATTGGACTTTCATGTGCGACCTGGTCTTTTGCACCTCATAGAAAACAGCCTTAAGTATCTAGAGTCTCTAAACCAAATATTCCACCAATCAAGCATTATATTATTCTGATTTGTATTAAACTAGGATTTTTTGCTAGGTTCAAATTAGAGAATATGGGATTGATACAGGGCAACAATAATGTAGACTCTTTTGAATCTGTAATTGCTTTTTCAAGCCATGTGGTTCATTTTAAGACTGGTTACAGTATATGCTTTGACTGCTCTTCAGTATCAGATAAATGTTTCAATCTAATGGAAAATCAATTGAGGTTACAAAATGCAGGTTTCTTGAAGTGTCATTCTAAGATTATGGTAAGCAAGTTTGGAATTAATTTAGTTGCTGAGCGTCAATATTTATTAAGCAGTTTAAGAGGAAACCTTGCACTGCCAAAAATTCCTAGGAGAAGGGGAGGAAAAGATAACAAGTACCATGATTTTTCATACTAACTTCCTGATTTAAGATATAATTTAAAATTCTTTAAATAAGTTTGCAATCTTTAAAATCAGTGTATCATTCTGTTTTTGTGACAGATATGAAACTAGTCATATTTAAAGGCTTTTGTAACATAAATAAAACCAATGAAAGCAAGTTCAATTTCTCTGCCAAAGAAATGGCATTCTTGACATCTAACATACTTGCAATAGATTTTACAGAACAGTAAGACTTTTTTTGAAGGTTCTACAATAGACATGAATTTTAAAAGGTCTTTGTTGACAAATATTGGCAGACATTTGATAAGATTTTCAATAAACTTACATTTGCATAAGAGTTTTTTCACTTCAAAATTTGCTTACATGAAATTTATTCAGAATTCAGTAATTTCTTGTGACTGTTTTGGCTGCTTCATTTTTTGCCCCAAATATCTACATTCTTCACGCATTGTTGTGATTTCTAATGCTAACATCTGATTAAATGAGCTGTACTTCATAAAAGCATATGCCTTTTAATAAAATTGGTCTGTCTGCAGAGATGCTACCATGCTTTTCCTTGTTTTTTTCTTTTTCTTTTTTTTTTGCAAAACATAGACAAACATAGCTCTCTTCTTAGAAAACTAACACTTTTGCATTGGGTGTAGTTTTGTGCATGTTGACAAGAAAACTTATGTTTGAATCTCTGTTCCAGGAAAATTTTCTGAGTGTGGTTCCATAAAATCAGTTGCTTTTCAGAGGTTGTTACCGACACGATAGCAACACATTTCTTGCATGTTCAGCTCATGAATTCAACTAAGAATTTGGCACTTGCCGTTAATGTAACAATACTGGAAAAAATGTACTGCATTTGAATTTCCTGTGTTTGTATTTCTCTGCTTATATCACATCGAGGAGGAAAATGTCCCTAGGTTGTTGGTAGCTGTGGTTTAGACTCATTGTAAACACCCCAGATGGTTCATAAAACCCTTTTCAAATGCCATCTGTCAGGCGTGTGTCCAGCCAGCAGCCTGTCATTTTGCTACAAGAAAAGAGAAGGCGGGGATTCCTTTACCCCTTGTTTCCCTTAGTTTGTTTCTGAATTGCTGTTGGGAACGTTTGCTTTGAAGCTACAAAGCCAGGAGCGACCGTTGCTCTATGGAATCATGCAAAATAGGGATGTTTGTAGCTTGGCTAGTTCCATGGAAGAAGTAACACAACGTCACTGATCCTGTATCCTAAAGTTACACCATGGTCTTGTAGTAAGTTGCCAGTTTATTAAGGGCTTTCTTGGCAAAAAGACATTCCTGGAACCCAAATACTTTTATTTTATTTATTTATGTATTTAACTTGTCAAACATGTACAAAATAACAGGTATAAGTATAAACATGGACATGAACAACGGAAATGGGGGCAGTAGGACAGGGACGATAGGCATGCTGGTGCACTTATGCAGCCCCGTTTACGGACCTCTTAGGAACGGGGTAAGGTCCACAGTAGACAGTTTAAGGCTGAAGCTGTGCGGGTTAGAGGATGTAACAATGGAGTCGGGTAGAGCGGTCCAGGTGTTGACCACTCTGTCGCTGAAGTAATTTTTTTCTGCAATAGAGTTTGGAACGGTTTACCTTGCGTTTGTATCGATTGTTTGCCCATGTATTATTTTGTAGAAGCTGAAGTAGTCGTTGACAGGTAGGACATTGTAGCAGACAATTTTATGTACTATGCTTAGGTCAGACCATAGGTGGTGTAGTTCCAGGTTATCCAAGCCCAAAATTTCAAGCCTGGTGGCATAAGGGATTTTATTTTGAGAAGAGAAGTGGACAACTCTTCTCGTGAAATACCTCTGGACCTGCTCAATTGTATAGAATAGAATAGAATTCTTTATTGGCCAAATTGATTGGACACACAAGGAATTTTTTCTTTGTTGCATATGCTCTCAGTGTACATAAAAAGACAAGATACATTCATCAAGAATCATAAGGTACAACCCTTATGATAGTCATAGGGTACAAATAAGTAATCGGGAAACAAAGTATTAATGTCTCATATACAGTGCAGATTCCAAGCAGACGAGCTGTATTCAAGAATTGGTCTGGCAAAGGTTTTGTATGCCCTAGTTTGCAGTACAATGTTACCGGAGAAGAAAAAAATAAAACATAAAAATAAATAAAATAAACAAAAATAATTTTTAAAAAATCTAAAGAAGGTAAGTCAATGGACTCATAGCTCAGTTAGTGCTGAGAGCTTGGGAAAAGCAGTGAGCTGATACAAACCAGCCCATTCGATGCAGTCAGATGTGTTTGTTCTGAGCACTTGAAACAAAAGAAATATTACTAAAATTTCATTTGTATAGAATTCAAAGCATTACAGCTGTGTGTCAGTCATAGGGTGTATCTTTTCCTTAATATGAATAAGATATAGATTTATTTTCTCCTCAGTGAGTCTCCAAGGATACAGGAACTGTGTTTTGAAGAGATACTCAAAATAAAGTACAGTGAATTACTTCTACCCGGAGAAAGTTAAATATGCATCACTCGAAGTGCTTGATGTTCAATTTTTATTTGATTGTATCCCGATTATGAGAAACAGCTCTCCCTACCCCCATCCCACTCTATTTTATGCAAGTATTGTTCTATTTGGGAAAGCTTTGTGAAATCATATAAGTACTCTATAAATAGGCTAGGTATTTGAGAGGAATGAAAAATTATAAGTAAACTGAGAAATATTTCTGTTTTGTACTTGGCACTTATATTATCACAGAGACAGAAGATGCACAAAACAATATTCCTGGAAAAATGTCATAGTTAAGAATGTGAATATATTATGGAAATAACTCACGTTATACAAAGATTCCAAGAGAACCAGTAGTGCTGTCCCATCAATGACCAATCAAATAGAAAGAATGTTGTGTGAAATAATTTCTAGAGGGAAAATTCTCCTCTCCTCTCCCCTCCTCTCCCCTCCTCTCCTCTCCTCTCCCATCCCCTCTCTCCCCTCCTCTCTGCTGGGCTCTGTTCCCCTCTTCTGCCTTCTGCTCTTCTTTCCCCCCTTTTCTTCTCTCCTTTGACAAGCAGCGAGCAGAGCAAATGAAATAGTGATAGTTATCCATACTTGGGCACAGAGGTGCTGGTTTAAACTCTCTATTGGCTTCTCTACATTGACTTTTTCCGTAGAAGATCTCACCTGGTCACACTACTGTTTCCTTCAGCATTATCATAATGTAATATTTGTTTCTTTCCAAAAGTACTCTTGTAACATCAGTACTCACCTTGTTCTGTCTGTTTTTTCTTTACCTAGGCACCACACGTCCTCCAAGAGAAGGAGAAGTGCCTGGTGTGGACTATAACTTTCTAAGCGTACAAGAGTTTCTTGAACTTGAAAAAAGCGGAACTCTGCTTGAAGTAGGAACCTATGAAGGTATGCTCCGAGACACCTAAATGTTGAAAGGAGGGTTCTTAAAGCGTCTTGGGAAATTATAAAATTGCATTTGTGACACTCCTGAGTGTTTATGAAGAATCTACTGAGATATTTTGTAGGGGGAAAAAATCTGTTTTTCAAAACAATTTTTTTTTTTTTATTCTCTTACATACCATTTTAAGTATACATTCACATAATTGTTATTCTTTTTTTACATTTATCACTCTTATACATGTATTATTTCATTTAATAATTTATAATGTACAGTTTGGGTTGCTTTATTTACCATCCCTTCCACTGGTGGACTGGCATTGGTTCCGTGGCATGCCAGAAACTGGGGCGCACAAATAAGCAAAGCCCCATCCACGGGATGCAAGCAGCACATGAAACCACACACCCTCTGGTTCATGGAAAAACCTCTCTCCACTGAACCAGTCCCTGGTGCCCAAAAGTTTGGGGGCCACTCTAGTGTTTGGTAGCTTTCTGAAAATTTATTTTCTTGGGAGGGGGGGAACCATTCAGGAAGCATGTAAGTACATGACATGAAGCAGTTTTTACATTGCTCCACCTATTTGTAAAAACCACATTCCCCCATTGTATTAGAAAAGTATGTTTGAGGCTACAGAGGCTGATGGAGTTGGCAGAAATGGCTAAATTGACAATTTTGATTAAAGAAAAGAATATAAGTACCTTTGTTGCCACATGGAAACCGCTTCTGAACTTTGTGCTTGATGTGGGGAAAAAGCAAAACTTCGATTTTGGGTTTTACTGATTAAACTGATACGTGTTTATAGAAATGGCTAATTTATATTACTATGGAAAAGTAAAAAGTTGTGGTTTGATATTAATGCTTTATTTTACTGCAACAAAGGGAGTCAGAAGTCAAATCCTTTTTTTTTCCTTTTTTTCCTCCTCTCCCCCCCCCGTCTTCCTATTTCCTTTTGCATTTTGTGTCATTTTTTAACCTAATAAAAAAAATTTAAAAAGAAAAATACGTTGGAGAGGGCAGAAATATTCATGATTTAAGTAGTCCTTGAATCAATTGCTTAAT